TGATATATCTTTGGATACGGAAAGAGTTGTTTAAAAAGGAAGTGACCATCTGTTGTGCTATATGTCCACCTAGGCTGGAAATAATGGACTTAAATTGCAGCAAGGGAGTTTCAGGTTGTATGTTAGGGAAAACTTTCTGTCCATGAGGATAGTTTTAACAGACTACCTAAAGAGATTGTGGAATCTCCATCACTGGAAACCTTGAAGCGCACATTAAACAAACTTCTTATGTGAGATTTTTTAGACGGGATGATCCTACTTTGAATGCAGATTGGACTAAAATCCTTTTTAGCTCTGTTTTCCTTTATTTTATGAAACACCCAAACTACCAGCCAGCTTAGTGACAAAGAAAGAAAAAAGAGGTGGAAAAAGGTCTGCAAGGAACATCAGTCAGGGAAGATCATGAGACTGGTGTGTTTCTGCATCTATCCATCTGTATCATCTCAGCAGCCAGTTTTAGAGAGAAAAGGTGATGGGTTAAATAAGGGACCTTTGGTCTTTAACAGTCATTTGCCTAGCAGGCTGAAGTCCTCCTCAACCTAAGTACCTTCCCATTATAAAGGTTCTTTATAATGAAGTTTTGACTATATAATCAGTGCTTTGGAATTTGGTTATTGTCTTGAAGATGACCCTTTCTCCTCAGCTATAACACTGAGGTAGTTTAGATCAGCTAGCAATCTTTTTCTGTAACTGGGCACACCTACATGTGTGCTTAATATAAAGCAATTAACTCCGGCATAGTTTGTGCTGGAATTTATTGCTCCTGACCACACCATTTGCACGTGCATCTGGGGCCGCAGCACACTGAACCAGGTCAGAGCAGCCCTGGCTGCCGAGGAATCTGGGGGGTCAGCTTACCAGCCCGGGCTGCTCTGACCCACCTCACCGTGCTGTGGAGAGGCTGACTGGGGCATGAGGGTGCTCCAGTGCAGAGCTAGCTAGCAGGCAGCCCTTGCACTGAAATACCCTCATGTCCCAGCCAGCCATATCAGTGTCTACATGTCCTGTGTTATGGAGTAAAAAAACTCCACTGCGGGATAGAGCTATAGCTCCAGCCTAGAGGCATGCAGGCGACTGGTGGCAGCAGTGCTGGGAGCAGAGTGGCGGTGAAATTTGGGTGGATGCAGCATCCTCCCAGCACCGCTGGTGTCCGCTCCGAGCCCAGCCCCCACAGCCCCGGCAGCAGTCTACCCTGCCCTACACAGTTCCAGGAGTGCATATGCCCCCCCACCATTCCCTCCCGGGAGGCAAACAGCACTGGGAGCCCCCCCCCCGAGCTGTGGCTCCATCCCGTCCCCCCCGGCTTGGGCAGCACCTGCCCCTGCCCCCTCCTTCACCGCAGGGGGCGTTGATCTGCCCCCCGCCTTCCCTCCCCCTTTCCCTTTCACCACACCAGACTTACCAGCTGTATAGGAAATCTGATCGGTATTTGCTATCAGTATCAGCCCCCAAAATCTCTATCAGTGTAACCTTACTTGTGAGTTGTCTCTGTACCTTTTGGTTTTCAGCAATGTGCAGAGATGTAACAGGGCAGCTGCAGCTGCCCCAATACTGATGGTGCCAGGACTATTTGTACTCTGTCCACCCCCTCCAAAGGTAACACCTAAGGGTGCTGTCCCAGTCATGTTCCCTCGCCTCCCACCTTCCTCAGTTATGCGATTGGAAGTGCATCACTTCAGTTTTACTGCAGTTCACCAGCATTCAGAGCAATAAAATGATGGGCATTTAAACTTTTAACTGAATCTTCAGATGAATTTTCAAATATATTGATAAGAGTTAGGTTTCCAAACTTTGGGAACTTGGGCCAACCATGGTTTGTGGCTTTTAAGAAGATTATTATTTAAGAAGATTAATCTTGCCTGTCTGCTGAGACGGTGAGTGAGGATTCTAATGGCAATAATGGCTTCATGCCCTGATCTAAAACATAATAGAAGTCTATGGAAGTGCTCCCCTAGATTTCATCAGGACCAATCTTTCATGCAGTGGTTCCTTGCCCAGTGTGGACAAGAATTAAATCATCAACACTTTTTTTTTTTTTTTTTAAGGAAGACCAGTAGTTAAGAATCAAGTGACAATGAATATTGATTATAATAGGCCTAGTGTGCATTTTTATCTCCTCTGTCGTATTCTAATTTCTTTTTTTGCTTCCATTGGTAATTTTCTTGTCCAAAACTTTGGTTTGGGGAAGGGTTAGTAACATGACTTCTTGCATACTTAAGGCAGCCCCTCAGCCTGGCTTGTAAAGAGTCTGAGCAGCCAAGCGGAAATGGCTATTGACGATGGGAAAACTATTACAGACCATTTTCAGTTGTGGTGGGCGTTTCTAGCACCTGTTAGTAATCTGGGAGTCTTGCCGTGTCCAAACAACTCGGGTTTAAATAGTCTAGCAGAAAAAGGGGCAATTGATTCTGTTCCCTACAAGAGCAGGTTTCTTTTTGCAGTTGCCAGAACCATTTGCTTAATTGTCTGGATTACTTATCAAAATCTAGCAGATCTAGTAACTATTTTTTCAGCCTTTTAAGCAAAGATATTTATACAAGAAAGTTGTTTTTTTTTGGCGGGGGGGAGGGGTTGCTATAGAATTAAAATGCTTGTTAAAAGTCTGAGGAGTTGTTGACAAGACTTGGAAAATTACTATAGACTTATGATCATTTTTTGTTTTGAAAAACTTGAGGGTTTCAAGGTGTTCACTTCAAAATGCTTCAAAAGTGTTTGGCATTAGTCTTAACATGGAAGTCAAAGACAGTTTTACCACTGACTGCAGGAGAAGCAGGGTTAAACTAAGCTGAATAATTTTGAGAAGCTCCATTTCTTTTTTTGCCGTGCTATACTTTAAGCATTCTGAATCTCTGACAGAGAGACAAGTGCTCTGTGCTTTTGTAAGTAATGCTCTGTTTTGGCATGCGTGACGTAGTGCAATCCCAACTGTGCTGATACAAAATGATTGCCAGATATTTATTCATTTATTTATTTATTTTGAGTAGACTGCAGCAGAATAGTAGATCTCTAAAGCAAAATAGTCCAAGTGGATTAAGTAACTGTGTGTGAAATTCTAACATTTTGACTGCAGTTTGTTCATGCTTTGCTTTGTTTGGTAACGTGGCTCATCATCCAGGATAGTACCACAGTGTGACCAGCCTACTTTGTTATTTCAACAAGACTCTTCTCCTCTTAATTATTGCTGTAACAAAACTCCCTCTAATGCTTCCAGTGGAACTTATTCTAAGTTTTGAATTTTGGTGACGGGCATTTTTTTTCCCTAATGTTAGAGGGGGAGAAACCCTGAAACTTTTTCTTAAGTGAGAAGTTGTTATGCTACTTCAGTATTCATAAAAATTCTAGGTAGAAAGGTGGCTGAATGTATGCAAGAGGCAAGGATTTGGGGGTGATATCTTTTATTGAACCTACTGTATAGCTGAAATAGACTTGCAAGCTTTCAAATGCAATGCATCCTTGTGTGTTGTTTGTACCTCAAACCATGGCATGCATTTCAGGTCATAAACAGATCCATACAGCACCTGTGGGTTCCACTAGGAACTGTCCAGATCAATGGCTCCACTGTTTCCATAGTAATTAATGTCCCTCTGGGGTCAAGAAACAAGTGGAGACTTAAAGGACAAAAAGTAAAGGAGCTGTGTGCTATGTGGCGTAATAAAGTTTTTATTGCCACTTCTCCAGCAAGTTCTTCATAACTGGACTCGTGGCTTTGCCACCCGTGAGTAAGGCTGTCATCCTGAGTTTGTGGCAATAAAAGCTTTATGGACCCTGCCCCATCAAGCAGTCCCTTCTGTCTTGTCTTTCCTCTTCCTTGGTGATTGAGTGGCTGTCTTCATTTTGTAGAAAGTAATCAGAATACGGTGTTGAGTTTTTTTCTGACCTTTGGGTTCTTAGACCTTCACTGTATTTTCTAAAGCTGTGTCTGTGTAAGGAATGATTTGCATGTGGGGAATATTGATATTCTGTACCAGGTGCCTCTTGTGTAAGCACAGCTGCACCCCCAAAGCTCTGCCTTGCACTGGCATAGTATAAACCATTCTGACTCAGAAAGAAGATAAGGTACAACCGCAGGCATTTTGCCAGCATAACTGTAATTGTAATGTAGCATTCTGCCAGGGATCACACATCTTCACACCCCTAACCAACATGGTTGACTAAGCCAAATTCAGTAAGCCTAAGGGATAACTTAGGCTAATGCGCATTAAAGCATTACATATGGATGCACCCATAGCGTTCTGCCTTATGGTTGCTAGGCCCTCTTTGATAGAGACGGCCTGTGACTATAGGCTTTATACATATTGAAACTATCCTAGACTTCATCTTAAGATAAAAAAGTGCATTTCACTGCCTAGTTCTGTAAATATTAACTTTCTGTCAGATAATAATAATACATAGCCCACAAAATACCAGGCTCAGTAGTCATGAAGTCTTAAATAATGGAGGTATGTACATCTGGAGAGTCATTTAGCTATAGGCCAAGTAGAAGAAGGTGCTATTTGATTTATTACAAATGTTTAGGACTAATATATAACAGTGTGACCTCTAACTTAAAAAATCTTGTAATTTATTAAAAGGACACTTTTTCTTCTAGTAAACTAATTGGAGTCTTGCTGTGACACAGCTGAATTAAAACAAAAACCTGATCTTAGATAAATTCACAGCTTCTGTGCGACAAAGAGCCATGCTGCTATTTTTAGCTTTCTGCCTTCATCTGTATCAATTGATATGGGTTGCGTGCGTTAGGCAAATCATTTATGCTAAAACTGGCACCTCCCTTATTCAAGATTTCAGATAGATAGGTGTTAGCATAGCAAAAGTTTTCATAAACCTAAGTTTATTTTATCTAGTGTTGCTAATAAAATAAGACACCAAAAATATTTTTTTGAAAAAATCAATTGAAGTTTTATGATGGGAGCAGTGCCAGTTGTGAATAAGCTTTTATACTGTGTGGTCCAAATCATGATGACAAAACTTTGCTTTTCTTTTTGTGTGTGTATATGCAGAAACTATGTGAAGGAATTTTAAACATCCTTGAAAACAACACAAAAACTTCATGTCAAGTTGCCTGCCTGGAAGCTCTACGAATTCTGTCCAGAGATAAGAAGGTTTTAGTGCCTGTAACAACAAAGAGCAACATGAAGATCCTGTTGAAGCTAGCAAAGCTTGATACTACAGAAGATCCCTTGGAGGAGGTTTCCGAATACCCTGTTATAGTGGAAGCTTTAAAATGCCTCTGTAACATAGTTTTTAATAGTGCTGTTGCACAGAAGCTCAGTTTGGAACTGAACCTTGCAGCTAAGCTTTGCAATCTCCTGAAAAAATGCAAGGACCAGAAGTTTGTTGATGACATTAAATGTTTTGATCTGCGTCTTCTCTTTCTCTTGTCACTTTTGCACACAGATATTAGGTCACAATTGCGTCATGAACTGCAAGGGGCGCAGGTTTTGACTCAAGCTTTGGAAAATTCTCTGAACGTAATATGGACAGATGAGTACAAAGCTGCTGAAGATCATGACAGGTCTCCTTTATCTCTGCAGGAGACAGATTGTGCCATTGAGGCACTAAAGGCACTCTTTAACGTAACGCTCGACAGTTGGAATGTCCACAGCAAGGTACGTTCTGAAATGAAATCCTTTTGAATTGGGTTTATTTTGTCTACAAAAACCATAGCTGCCTCCTGGTTATATCAGAGAGAAACAGTTATCAGGGCAGGCTAATCTTAATTTTAATGTACATTGTTCTGATTGTCTGAAGTATAGGCATTAATGGCTAGGACTATGAAATGAATTAATTGAGAACAAAGAATCTACCTTGTGTTTTCCTTTTCTCAGATCACAATGTGACTAGATCACCTGTTGGGTTTTAAGAGCAGGTCATTCTGTTTTTATGAGGAAACAGACTTGTTTCTTTGTATGTTAGTCTTTTCTCTTTATTTCTGTTTCTGACCTGGAATTTCTATATAAAAAATGTTTCTGTCTTCATAGTGGGAGATGTGCTTTATCTCTGCCTAGACAAACAGCAGTGCTTGTGTATGTTCGTAAGTAGCAAATGTGATTCCACGGTCACATAAGCTGCTCTCTCAAATGTACACATTTTAAAAAAGCAGACAAAGGAAATCACACTTTTTTTTGGTTTTTTTCCTATTTAAAATAAGCAATACTTATGTAAAAAGGAGTGCCCCTAGTTCTCCAGTTTATCATCCCACAGGAATCGTTATTAAGCAAAGTTTTGTTTAACATCCTTTCTAATGATCTAGAAGAAGAGGTAAACAACACATTAATTAAGTGTGCTGAAGATATAGCACTGGAAGGTATTGCAAACATCAGCCAGGATGGAAAAATAAAGGGGATCCAGAGAGAGTGGATGTATAGGTTTCCCTTTAATTTATGCGGGTTCTTTATATGCAAATTTTCTCTTATGCGATAAGCATATTTAGGCCCATAATTCGTTATATGCAAGATAAATTCGCTCTTATGCAAGCAGCATAGATGCCCTCCTCCTGCCCCCCCAGCAGGTAAGTCTGGTGGGGGGAGTGGAAAGGGCAGTGACCCCACTCACCCCAGCCCTGGCTGCAGCGGCCCCAGGGGTGGCTGGCACCAACTGCCTGCAGCCGCTGGGCTGCACTGTGCTCCACCTGTCTCCCCGCGCCTGGACTCACCCCAGCTGCCTGCACCCAGGCCGTGGTGCAGGCAGCTGGTGTTAGCTGCTCCCAGGACTGCTCCAGCATGGGCTGGGGTGAGTGTGGACAAGCAGAGCCCTGGGCAGCACAGGGCGCAGCACTCGCCCCAGCCCCAGCTGCAGCAGCCCTGGAAGCGGCCAACACCAGCTGCCTCCATCAGGGCACAGAACAGCCCAGGAGCAGAGTGGGGACAGGTGGAGCACGGTGCAGCCCAGTAGCTGCAGGCAGGTGGTGCCAGCCGCTCCTGGGGCCGCTGCAGCCAGGGCCGGGGTGTGTGTGGCTCTGTTCCCTCTGCTTTGCTGCCTTGTGCAGCCCTGGGAGCGGCACCCCTCCCCCCGCCCCTTCCCTAGTCCCAGCCTCACTCCCTCCCTCCTTCCCTCACCACCATGGGAACCTGCCCCTATTTGTTACATTGTAAAATGGGTTCACTTTATGCAAATTTGATTTATGCGCCATTCTCTGGGAATGCAGCTACAGCATAAATCAAAGGAAACCTGTATTGGTAGGAAGTGAAGCAAGGTTCAGCCTGGGAGGAAGAGAAAAACTATCTATAAACTATCTGCTATTGAATGGCAGGAGAAAATTTCAAAGAAACAATGTTGAAAAATAAATCCATGTGATACCAGTAGGCAAACTGGGTGTTGTTAGCATGTATTAGAGTTGTCCCCAAATGGTCCCATTAAGATTGGGTCCCACTTTTCTTTTAGGTGTTGTGCAAATGCTTAAGAGAGAGTCCTTGCCAAGAAGAATATACTATGAAAAAATATAGAAGTGTGGTAGGGAAAATGCATAATGTTAAATGTTCAGGATAACTTATTAGGCACACTGTGTTATGCAGGTGACGTTTGCGGGAGACTAGGAGGCAAACAGTCTTATAAAAAAGAAAATTAGAGGGAGTGAGTGGGAATGATGAGAGGAGAGAAGTTAATGAAGAAGGGAGTGGGGAAAAGGGTGACGTTGAAAACAGAGTAAGGAAAGAGGAAGAAATAGAGAAGGACACGGGGACTGGCGAGTGAGGCTGCTGGCTCCAAAAAGGCTTATGATGAGAGAGTGGCTGCTTTCCCTAATCATACTGAGGGATGTAGGAAGTTTTGGGCCTACTGGCATCCCTGTACACCGGAACCAGGAAGGAATGCTGTTCTGTACCCTGGATTATCCCAGGGGAAAAGCTAGTGCCTCCAGTGACTGGTTTTGTTTCTGGGAGCTTTGCCTCTGCAATCCCCTCTACCAGCCAAGTTGGCTTCTGGGAGAAGGACACCAAGGGCCCACTTATTTTGCATTGTGATGCCAATGTGATTCTGAGTAGCTCACATATAGTTCACAGGAAAGTCGCACATCCCGAAATGGGGAGGGCTAAGAAGGGCTGATATAAACTATACTGAATGTGATAGGTGTGAATGCCAGGGAAGATGAAAGGTTAACACTGATGTAACAAGGGGCAGACACAGAAACTACTGCTTTGATATAAAAGGATACTGATATAAGAAGGGATCTACCTAAGTTGCGGCGAGAAAAAGGGCTTTTCACAGCCCCACTAGCAGCATGCAGAGCTGACTTCACAGGCATTTCCTGGCAGTCCCCGCCCCACACCACTGATTGGTGGAGAGTGGGTGCCTTCACTCAGTGTACATCCCTACTGCAATTTTTTTTTTCATTTTTTGCTTGATTTTGCAGGAAATTGTGGCCAATGCCAGACTTCCCAGCAATCATAGACAATGCTGTTTTTGCAGTTTTCATGAAACTGATTTAGGTAGGTCCCTAGGTATAAGCTGTATCAATGTAACTGTTACAGCTGCAGGATTTGGTAGCAATGCAGATGTAGCAAGAACTGCTGAAACTTTAACTCTGTTTCATTCAAGGTTAATTTTAGGGTACTTCAGCTCACTCGCATCACTACAGGATCATGCAGATACAGCAGTGACAACATAATAGCTGGTGTGTGGTCCTGAAAACAGTTCCCCCCCTCCCCCTTTTAAAACAGTTAAAAGGTACATTTGTCCATGCTCTAGGAGTAATAGGAGATAATCTGAGAAAATAACAGATGCCTCCTTGGTGGAGTAATCTGAAACTAGAATGAACCAAGCCCTCAAACAAACACATAAAGAACACTCCTTTGTTGTTAGGAAATTGATTATATGATCTAATAGGTATATTCCATCTTTAATTTCTACTGTTCTAGTGACATGAACCCTCATTTGCAATCTTCAATATGAAAAATATCTTCATAATTTATATTTATATAGAATGAATCTCATCAATTTCGTTACATGGCTGCCATCCTTCGCCACTGCTTGTTAATCATGGGTCCTACTGAAGATAAAACGGAAGAGTTGCACAGGTTGGTAGAATTAAAGAACTAATATTTGTTTCAAGGATGACTGCTTTTATTTTGAACTGAATATGTCTTAATTATTAGCAAATTGGAATACCAAAATGAATGTTATTACGTAATGAATATACTATTTTTGGTTAGAATTTTTTAGACTTTAAGAACATCTGGTAACTCAAGCAGATTATCTGTCTGAAATGTTGCTTTAACATGTCCATTGTTCAAAAATAGCTCAAAACATAATAAGTGAGCTCTATAACCATTGTTACATTAAAATAGCAGTAGTAAAATGGAATACGCTAAAATGGAAACACGCATGTGTTGAGGTTGAAATTGTTACTAGGAATTCTAGCTGCGTCACAGTTTGCAGGTATCTATTTGAAATAGTTTGAAATCTGTTTAAATAGTTAAAACTTTATATTGGCTTGTTAATTTATAGTGCGCACCTACATACCTACTATTACCATCTTTAAACTGCCTTTGGGTACATCCAGACAAGTGTGCATGTGCAGGGACACATTTCCCATGGCATAAATAGCAGAGGCACATATTTGTGCCCTACTTTTTGCCCCAGAGCATCTCTCTGCACGTGCAGTTAGATGCATGGCAAATTATATCGGGTGGGGTAGGGGAGGCTGCGGCCAGCACCTGTGCTGGCCTCAGCAGCCTAACCTAAGGTCCCAGGGGCCTCCTGGGCCAGCAGCGCTGCTGATCGGGCCACACAAAGCCTGGCCAGCAGCCTTAGCATGACTCTACACTGCCAAGCTCAGTTTCTGGTGGCACGTACACCATGCCACTTTATTCAGCAGTGATGATTTTTTTTTTTCTTTTTTTTCACATCAGGATCTCCTGGTCTCAAATTTTGATGCCACACTGCTTATTAGCAGTGTGGCAAACGGGTGCACATGCACTGCATATGGTTTGCAGTGCCTCAGACAACTTTGAGGCACTGCAAACCACACATGCACACTTATCTGGACGCACCTTTGTGTTCAATTCTTCTCATTCCATGAAATGAGTTTGCAGCAGCCAGAATGTTACTTTTGATCGTGTTAGGACTCTGTTGTATAACATTTTTTTTCTGTGTTGTAAATGCTGCAGGTTTAGGGTTCTAATGCCAATGATGAAAGAGGAGTGATTGGTTACAACTTGCTGTAATTAACTGGTCTTTACCTTTTAAAAAAAAAAACCCAGGAAGTTATGCACACAATGTGTTTAAAATAAAAACCACAAAAACATAATTCAGGTTGCGAAGTCAGGCAATTGAAAGTTGAGAAATATCATAGTTGAAGTTTCCTGAAGAGCCCTAATTCTTTTCACCTGTCGTGTGTATGATGACAAAGGTGTTTAAACAAAGGTGTTGCCTACTATTCTTCCTCTGGATGCCTGCCTCAGAAAATGAACACAAGAGAGGGCAATATTGAGGTTACACAGATAACTGTAAATCTCGGCTTTCCTTATTTTTGTGTCTGACCATACAGTCTACAGAATATTTTTTAACATACTGTTTTTCATGTGTAATATGGATTGTAGGACAATTCCAAAATGACTCTGGTCCAGAGGCTCTGATCCAGAGGGATGCACCTTGTAAGACCCAAAGGACCCGAATGTCTTATTACTGGCTGGGTGCAGATGTTACATTTAATGTGTTTTCAAGCATGCAGAAAGTGCCTTACAGCCGTAACAGAATAAATGTTCATAGCACATAAAGCACATTAAAAATGGTGGATCCCGCTCTAAGTTTAACTCTGGATGGATGTGTACTAACCTAAAGCGCTTTCTGTTAGAGTGCTTTATTGAACGTCTGTGCCAGATCACATTAAGAGTTAACTTAGAACGTGATCACCACCATTCCAGGCAGCATGACACAGGGCTGCGCTCTAGCTTTGGGCAGAGATCCTGTGCTCTGCCCAAGCAGCTGCCAGGCCACCCCCTCCCCCCTTTGATCTGAGTCAGTGACAGCCTCTGATCCTAGCCCTGCATGCACCCTGATGGGGGAGGAGGGGGGGGAGGGATGGGGTGGCCACCTCTGGCCCTGTAGCAGACCACAGCCCAGAAGTGGGCAGGGGGGTGCTGCAGGGGAAGGAGTCTAGTGTCTTACTCCCAGCAGTCACTCTAACTAGGCTGCAGTATGCCACTGCTTGGCCGGGGGGGCGCAGGGGAAGGGTTTCAGGGTCTCTGCCCCACCCCCCACCTGCCTGGTTGGGGCTGCTACAGTGAAAGGGTTCCTAGCCTGCCCCCCTGCCCCGACCCCAACCAGTAAATTGTGGGGGGGCCCTTGCAGTCCTTGCACCATTTTCCCCCACTTTTCCCCCTCAGCCACTGCTGACAGTTGCAGGTTGGTGGGGGGCATGGCTGGGGAGAGGGCTGCTCTGGCAGCCTTCTGGGAGGCATGCAGGAGCGCCCCCAGTGGCCAGTGCAGGCAAGCTGCAAGCAACAGTAAACATCTGTTCAGTTGGCTCCTGCTCTAGTTTATTGCACTTTGTGTAAAGCATGATAAGTTTGAGCACCTCTTCCAGGGGCTTTTTGAATGTCTGTACTTAGCAACTCTCTCCTGACATAAGTAGTAAATGCAACTGTTACATTCCAGATCAGGGCTTGCAATAAAAACAAAATAAAATCTCTCTAACTTCTATTAGCGCTGCTTAACCAATATAGCTGTAGAAAGAATGAGCTGGATTATTTCCTGGTTTGTGCGTCATCAACAGAATTTACCTCCAGTAGACTCTCACTGTAATTTTTTTGTAATTGCTAGAGATGAGGTGTGAACCAGAGAGAACAGAGATAGATATAGATATAGTGTATGTGTATTATAAACATATATGTATATACACACACATATATATAAAGCTCTGTTCATAGAAATACATATAGATACAGATAATTTATTTTATTTTATTCTATTTTTTTGGAAGTGGGGGCAGGTTCCAAGTGGAGCCTGTAGTGGGTGGCAATACCCAAAATGAAATAAAAATTACTTTTGAAGTGAAAAGTTGAGCTAATGCTGTATGGCATCATGATGGCATAAATATATTCCTTAGAATTGCTATTCAGAAGATTAAACTGTAACATTTTAAAATGCAGATCCAGTTTTCAACAGTGGGTGCTCCAAAAAATTAATCCGTATCCCCCATATTTGGATTCTTAGATTAGTCCTGTATGAGAACATGTGGACTGTGAATATTCAAAATAAAATAGATGCATTTTATGTTAGCATCAAATATTGGATTGGACCCTGAAATTGGGTTTGCTCCCCAACTGTCACAGTAACGACAATTTTATTTTTTTTCTTTTAATAAATAAGCAAAAGTTGTCAATAGAAAATATTTTAAACTAATTTAGTGCCTTCATTGTTGTCACTATTGTGGTTCTGTCATGTCATTGTTTAACATTTGAATATGAACAGCTTAAATCCCTGAATATTGGAGCGAGTGCCATTTTTGCCCACTAACAAGGTTTTAATCAAGGCATTGAGCAGCTCTAAATAGTCCTTTGCTTTTGAATTTGCATATCAGGAGGGGGCTGGGAGCATGAGTGGGTGGATGTCATGTCCCAGTGATTAATGATCTCTAGGAAGCCGAAAAGAGGAGAGTAATATACGCAGTATTTCTACCCCCTGGAGTAGGAATGCAAACACTATTGTGCAGATCTGTGCATAGTCACTGACTTCCTGGTAGCTAGAGAATTTCATACACTCCTTTACCACAAATAAAACTGTCAGTGAAGTGACAAAGATCAGAAACCCGGGCTTCGTTTATTGAAAAGAATAGCTCAGGCACAGTGATCCAGAAAATTAATTTTGTAGGTGTTTGGGAACTTGGTTGTTTAATAAGAAACTAGTAAAAATAGGACTTTCTATGAAAAGGCTGAAGGCGCCAAATATTTGTTGAATTTAAATCTGTTTTGTTTTTCACTATTTGTGAGTTATTAGAAACTGGTTACTCCAAATAACTTAAAAAGAGATGCGTTTGAAGGGAAGAAGAAAAGCTTCATAACCAAACACAATTTTTACTGATTGGTTGCTTAGAAAATGAACAAAGGATTGCAACAAATACACAATTGTTTACATACATACACAGTTTGCAACAAATATACAATTTCTAGTGTAAATTCATAACTGTATTGTGTGGTTAACTTAAATCTTAGTAGAATAGAAAGCAAACAAGCTTGTTTCACTAGGACCATATTAGAACCATAATATTAAGTGACATAAGAACTGCAGGCAAGATTCTTTGAGTAGATGTGATATCTTTTATTAGACCAACTGAGTAGTTGGGGGAAAGTGCTTTACGAGGTTTCGGGCACAAGTACCCTTCTTCAGGCTTAGGGAGACTCTGCTCTGATGTTTGTCCATCACTAGAGAAATATTTTGTTCATTTTAACATTAGAGAGGAACCTCTAAAAACTTGGTGACTAATCTTTGCCTGAGGTTTGCAAACACTAATATTCTAGTGAGTAACAAAGTTGTTCGAAGTCTCTTCAAAGCGTACATGTGCAACCTGCACTATTCTGCAATTCATCAACAACTCTGTTCTTGATAAATCACTTACATCATTGATAAACTCTAGCTAGGCATCAGCTTGCAACTATAGAGAGAATGCAATTATTTAACCCCTGAGTGACATATAGTATCATGTTAGGGAAACATAAAGCCAGTTGAATGTTTTTGTTGTTCTGTGATAAGAATGGTGCTCACTGATGGCAAGGGTTTTTATTCACATGTTAAACCCAAATCTTGTGAAGTGCCAGCTACATTACAAAAAGACCTGGGAGTGTCATTTAATTTTGAATTGAACAACTTTTAATTTCCCTTAATTGACATGTATTTAAAAAATGTAAAACACAGGCTAGTACTTGAGACCCCAGTGAGGATCTGCTTTAAAGCGCCATTGTATGGACTTTACTCATGTTTAAAACAACTTTCCCCCATGAGTTGTTTGCTCAAAGACAGCAAGGCTATGGGTAGAGTCATTGCTCAGTGTTAATTGGAGTTGAGCCCTAAGGTTTTCTGCAGCTATTCTAAAACTGCGTATTTAAAATTCAGGAGTTATTACTTGTTTGATTCTTTTTTGTTTATAAAAAAACAAACCCCTCCTTCAAAATGGACCATTTGTTATAAATAGAAGTACTCAAGATGCTGCATATATTAAGGAGGAAACAACACTGTGTATTTAAAATATTCTGCCAGCATGCCTGTGTACCATGCAAGCATTGTAAAATTAAAACTTGCGTATTTGAGAAGAGGGGGGGAAAAAAGAAAAGTCTGTGGGCAATGCAGTCAATGTGAGATTTCCCCCTGCTGGTCTGCAGCCTCAGTTGCTGAAACGCATGCTGAGCACATGCCTACTGACAGATATGATATTAATGCAGCCAGATCAAGAAACCTGTATGGTGGCCTTTCTTGTTCTTAGAAACACAGGTGAAAATCACCTGTTGGGCAAGAACATGTAATCTTGTATGAAATGACAGAGAATTAAAGTTATTTTTAAAGATTGTGGTTGTATGAGCAACTTGAAGGGCTCTGTTTATATTTTTTCCATTCCTTACACATCTGAGTCATGTTAGTAGTGTGCTATAAGCATATATGCTACGATGTCCATGGGTGTTAGTACAGCATCAGAAATGCTGTTAGTACTGTAGTAATATTAACTACCTAATTATAACATGTATACCTGTTCCTAAAGAATTCAAAAGATTACGTAACAAATGCTAATTTGAAGGACAATGCATATTGGGTATACCACATTCCGTTGGGGTGAAAATTGGTATTATTTAAATATTTGTTTTTAAGAATTCCAGGCTTCATTTTAAGAGGAGCCATTGAATGACAGTAACAAGGTTTTAAAAATCTTTTCCAGCAATGCAGTCAACCTTTTGAGCAATGTTCCAGTTTCTTGCTTGGATGTTCTTATTAGTCCATCTTCTGAAGAAGAAACAAATTTAAAATACAATGGTATGAATATGGATGCCATTCAAGTTTTACTGGATTTCATGGAGAAGAGAATAGACAAGGTATGGATGAAACCTAAGAATTCTTGAGAAAAGGGACCTCTCATTCACTTATAAGTAGAGATTGAGTCAAAACGCTAGATCTGTACACTTCCCCCTCCTCCAAAATCTTAAGCCTTCATGAAAAAGGATGATGCAAAATGAAGAAATCTGGCAGCTCAGTTTCATCCTAGAGTTTGAAAAGATCCTATAACTGTAGCTTATTTAACTTTATTCATGCATTTGGAATGCTATGCTAATAAATTTTATTAGAAATATCAGTTAAGAGATGCATGCTATTCAGAAATAAATCCTCTATATAACTAATATAATATTTAATTAAGACGAACTACACTTTTAAGGTGGGAGTAACTCTTCTTAGTTATTTCAACAATGTTACAAATGATGGAATCAACTGATTTCCAACTATTCTTTCTTATTATGTTGAACTAAGGTTCCATTAATACAGTTCATGTCTCTCTTTCCTAACCACTATTTTATTAAATTTTATTAAGAAAGTTTTTATTTTTGTTAAAACTGAGCGGGTCTGATTGTGTGGAAAACCAAGGTGAACAAATTCTTGGTCAGGGACTTTTTTCAGTGAACTCAATTCTGTACTTACAGTCTTGATTCGGTGTTCACTGAAGTCAAAGAAATTCAATCGTAGAATAGAATCATAAAACAGTAGGGCTGGAAGGGAATTCAGGAGGTCATATAGTCTAACTCTCTGCTCCATGGCAGGATCATCCCTGTCTAAAGCATACTAAGCATTTGCCTAAGCTGTTCTAAAGAACTTATAGAGATATATATATATCCTAGTGGACTCCAAGATGAACATGAGTCGGCAGTGTGACGAAGCCATCAAAAAAGCCAATGGCACGTTATCGTGCATCAGCAGATGCATGACGAATAGGTCCAAGGAGGTGATACTTCCCCTCTATCGGGCACTGGTCAGACCGCAGTTGGAGTACTGCGTGCAATTCTGGGCGCCGCACTTCAAGAGGGATATGGATAACCTGGAGAGGGTTCAGAGAAGGGCCACTCATATGGTTAAGGGCCTACAGACCAAGCCCTACGAGGAGAGACTAGAGAAACTGGATCTATTCAGCCTCCGCAAGAGAAGGTTGAGAGGTGACCTTGTGGCTGCCTATAAGTTCATCACGGGGGCACAGAAGGGAATTGGTGAGTATTTATTCACCAAGGCGCCCCCGGGGGTTACAAGAAATAATGGCCACAAGCTAGCAGAGAGCAGATTTAGATTGGACATTAGGAAGAACTTCTTCACAGTTCGAGTGGCCAATCTTTCCTGCTTATGCAGGGGGTTGGACTCGATGATCTATTGAGGTCCCTTCCGACCCTAACATCTATGAATCTATATAGGCAGCCTTTTCCAATAATGAACTGTCCTCATAATATGAAAGTTCTTCCTAATATCCAACATAAATTTCCCTGGCTGCAGTGTAAGGCACTGCTCCTTTTCCTGTCCTCTGCAGTCACAGATAATAGTTTCTCACCAAGGCTGTCCAATTGGCAGCCCATGGGCTCATGTGCCCCATGAAGAGTTAAACTGTGGCACCTGAGCTCCCCATGGGCACTGCTCCCCTCCTTGCTCTGGCTGCTCCTACAGGCTCCCTTTGCTATCTGTGGCTTTCACTTCCTGCCCCTACTTCAGAGGATGGGGCAGGACAAGGTGTTATGCCTCAGCACAGCCTGCAGTGCTAGGGAGCCTGCAGCACAGTACAGCAAGGGAGCCCACAGCCAAGGCAGTGGAGGGGAAACTGCCTGCTTGCGTGTTGCAACAGGGTTGGGGGGAGATACCCACCCATGTGGTACTGGCAGAATTTGCTGCTGAGGAAGTGAGGAGGGGCTGTGGACCCTGCTGGGTTGGCCATGCACCTGCTATATGCCTGGCATAATCACCTGTACATGCAATTGTAGGTGTCTAGCATTGAAAATCTGGTTCCTTGTTTTTTCCCTTGTATGTAATGAAGAAGATTGTTATTCCTATTTTGGTGGCTAAGTATGGGATTTGATTGAAAGGGCTGTTATGTTGTAAAAGGAAAATATTTATTCGTATCCATGAATTATGAAATCTGATGCTTTATTCACGTGTTGATTTATTTTTTATTTGATTCCATTTTAGGGAACCAGTTACAGGGAGAGTCTCACCCCAGTTCTCAGTTTATTAACAGAGTGTTGCCGAGTTCACAGGGACATCAGGAAGTTCCTTAAAGCTCAGGTAAGATATTGATTTAGAAATCATAATATAAAGCTAGTGGCAAAATCTTTCAGGCTTGTCCACCTCTGTGGTTCTGATACTTTAATATTGTATTCCCTCCTCCCCACTTCCTTCCCCCCCCCACACACACACACACATTCTTTGTATTGGGAACATTTAAATGAAAAGTAGGTGTTATTTTAAGATGCTTTCTCTGGCTGCTTTTGTCCAATTCAAACCTATGTTAATTTGTGATTTATCACTTATTCTATTGTTCTTGCTCTCTCTCTTGCACCCATATTAAAAGAGTGTTACTCAAGTTTGAGTCAAGCCCTAAAACTTGGAATGCTAGAATTCAGATTGACCGCTAAGGCCAAACTTGATTGGACAGGCTGAGGACTTACAAACAATCACTATACAACCTTGATTTGTCCCTAAACAATCCACCCTGTGCAGTCTAAGAAGTAGGGATCCTATGGGAAAACTAGGGTACATCCCTATGATGCAAGGTAGGAGTATGCTGAATACTATATCCATGCCATGTTTGGTAGCTCCTGAACTGGAAGCAGGATTAGCTGCATTAACGTATTTGCTGTGAGCATACCAATAAGTGCTGCCAAGAGTTGCACTCTTCTACATCCAGTCTCCTTGCCAAGCTAGCTGGTTTCTTTGTCTGAGCTGCTCATCCAGTCTGCCCCTCAATCCTAGTCTTGCAGTTGCAGGACCAGTGCTGGGAAATAAGGATCTCTCGGCACCAGCCCTATGGTCGTGGAGCTGGCGCTGAGAGGTAAGGATCTCCCAGCGCTGGCCCCAGGATCATGGAGCTGTCACTGGGAGATAAGGGTCTCCCAGCCTGAGCCCCATGAGTTCAGGCTGGGAGATAAAGGTCTTCCAGCACTGGGCCCATGGTGCGGAGCTGGGAGCTCCCTGCTGGTGGGGGCTGGCAAGCTCGTTCCCTGCCCAGCTCTGTGAGCATGGAGCTGAGTGGGGGAAGAAGCACCCCAGCCTGTTCCCCACCCAGGTCCGCACTGGCAGAACTTAATGGGGAACAAGCTCCCTAGCCTGTTTCCCACCCAGCTCTGTGCTCATGGAACTGATCAGGGAACAGGCTCCCCAGTCCCTGCCCCACGTGTAAGGTGGGGGCTGAGAACTGTCCTGGTTGGGGGCAGGTCCCAGCCCCGTGCTGTGATCAGGTGACCAAGGCACAAGGCTTGGAAAGAGCTGCAGGTGTGGGGTTAGGTCCCAGCCCCCTGCCCCAATCTGCTGGTGGCGCAGCTAGCAATGAGCTAACTGTTAGCTGCCCAGCCAGTGGATTGGGGCGGGGGTTTGGGACCTGCCCCTCCCCTGCAGCTCTTTCCAAGTCTCCTGCCCCTGATCAAGGAGCCAGGGACAGGAGCTCCTTGCTGCTGGGACAGGGGGACATTGTCCCCACCCCAGCAGCAGGCAGCCCTCAGGGGTAGGCTGCAGCCAGGAGACAGCTGTCTCCTAGCCCACTGCTCCCTGCCAGGCCCTGGCCTAGCACCCAGTGGGAGCCTAGAGCTCCTCCTGGTGGCAGCAGGGGCCCATTGCAAGGCCCCAGGAAGCAGGAGCAGTTTGCTGCCATTAGCAGCAAATCTGCTCCCACTTCTCTGCATATGTAGACGCCTGCCCAGGAGCGTTTACTCGGGAGTAAACTGATCCAGGATCAAATGCATGTGTAGACAAGCCCAGTGAGGCCAGAACTCTCAGATTTTAGCTGGTGAAATTTACGAAGTACTTTATTGCATGTGTGGAAACTGAATTTTCCAAGGCTTTAAATTGAGCTGCAAAGGGTTAAATGATTTGGCAGAAAATTCAGGGGGGAAGGAGGGATATCAGCTTGATGCAGACAGTCAACACGTAACCTCTCAGCCCCAAATGGTTGAATTTTGCCAATAATATAAGCAATTTTAAAAGAATGTCATAATGGGAAGTTGAGAGCAGCCTTAATTAAAAAACAAAACAAACAGATGCATCATCATTGTCAACTATAAGTCAAAGAGGTGCTTTTAAAAATCCATGATTAAGAAGTGCAGATTTCCATAGACTTTTACCGTCATCTGTATGTCCCATCTGAAACTTCAAGTGAGGAATAACAGCAGAGCCAAATGACATCTTAAAAACAGAGACTCCATCTTCATGCATGTGTATCGCCAAGAATAACATTTGAGAAAATAGTACAAACAAGCAGTATGTTTATTAGAGATAAGTAGAATTATCTGTAAAGTATTTCAGAGGAACTTAAACGCATCTGTTTACCAGGCAACTCTTTTTAAGGAGGTATATTTTTTCAAATTTGCAGAAACTCACTTGGAGAGATATCTGATAGCAAAGCTGTTAGCTAAAATTCTGGTTTGTGTTTGGATTTTTCAAAGTGTTTTAACAAGTCTTCTGTATAACCCACTGACCACTCTAATGATGTAGTAGCTTATTTGGGTTCAATTTTCTTTTATGTTTATGCCAACTGAAGTAGTAAGATGGATGATAATGCTCTTGTGCAGGTTATTAATCAATAGATATCTGGAGTAGCTATTAGTTGCATTAGAAAAAAGAGAAGATAGTCTAAAAGACAGTCAAGGATAAAGATCAGAGAACAGGATCCAAAGTATAACCTGGCTGGAGTTCATGGGAACTTTACAGAGGATTGAAGGAAGTCAGTGCAGCTGGCTGTGCTCTTCTTACCTTTGGAAGTTCTGCTTTATATTGTAGCCAGCCTACTTATCTAATCACTGCTTTTCTGGGTTGAGATTTAAGCTGATTGTACTTGCTCTCTTGGGAATAACTAATAACCTTTCCTTCCTGTTCACTTTGTTAGCTGCCGTCAGGAAAGAATTGCCGTGTTCACTTTCTCCTTTTCATGTTTCTAGGTATTGCCTCCATTAAGAGATGTAACAAATCGTCCTGAAGTTGGCACTACAGTAAGAAACAAACTTGTGCGCCTTATGACGCATGTCGACCTTGGAGTAAAGCAACTAGCAGCAGAATTTCTTTTTGTCCTTTGTAAAGAGAGAGGTATAAATCCAGAGTGCTTTATTTTTTCCCCTTTCCTTTTATCCCAAGAAGTCCTTAGAAAGATATTCCCTGTCTCTGCAACCATTACAGTTTCTGACGTGACCATTAGTTTAAAAACTGTTAAAATAATGCCTCTGGCTTTGATAATGTTTAGGTTGAATAGAATTGAAGCAGCTCACTGAATGAGTAGCTATTCAGTGATTGGAAAAGAGTGGCAAACTGACCAAATATGAAATGAGTTCATGAACTCTCACAGTTGTTGTCAGTGACTCTAATCTTTGACCAGTGGATGTTGGAAAGCTGTTTTGATCCTTTGGAGTGTGCATGTGGGATGAAATTAAAAGGCCCAACAGTAGAAGCTGCACTAATAATACTTGAGCAGCTATGGCTACAGTTTCCAAATGGAGCCAAAGGAAATTCAGCAAACAAACCTTGTTTGACTTTCAGTGGGAGGTTCATTCCCAACTTTTAGGCATCTTTAAAAATTCCAGCCTTCATTCTTCATCAGTCTGTATGCAGCATTTTAATCTTGGAAGTCCTTTTACCAGTGTTAAGTGTTAATCTAACCATCAGGGCCCAGTTAGAAAGCAAATTGTTCTCTTATTTCTATTGATGAGGAACCCTAAATACATAACTATTGGATAGCTGATGTGTGGCAACTGTTCATGTGTCTAACACTCCTGGTAACCAAAGCTAAAACAGTTAAGCTTAGCCTTACCATACCACAGAGGGGTGTCAGTGTCAGAACCAGCATTTTGAATTTTTGGATTCCTGGCTTCCTTGCTTTTCTGCTGGACTGTACCTTCCTCTCCAGGGTTAGGATATGGATCTCTCCAGGGTTAAGGTATGGATAGGTAATCAAATTAAGTGAGTTGGATAGGGAGGTCTTGCAGTGGAACATCTAACTGCAGTAACTGTTCATGTGCCCATAATGAATGAAACGGCATGAATAAGTTGCACTAGTTTAGCTTTCCCCAACCAGGGCTTAGCTCTATGAACATTAGAACTACCACTTGCTGGGTCAAACCATCTTTCCCAGTATCTTATGTCACACAGTGGCAGAGTAGATGCTGAAAGGAAGAGTTACCTGGGTAGGACCAGGGTTTCTTCCACTGTTCCCCTCTCATTTTCTGCATTTAAGGTCTAGGAAGTTCTGATCCAGACGCTGTACCTCTAACTCTTGTGCTCAATAGCTATTGATGCAACTTTCTGCCCAGAAGGTATCCAGTCCCTTTTTGAATATGGGTAAACTTTCAGCTTCCACAACATCTTGTGGCAATGAGTTCCACACTTTAATTAGAAAAAGAACTTCCTTTTGTTAGTTTTACACTTACTGCCTATTTGTTTCATTTTGTGACCCCTAGTTATGGACACATCAGCTATTTGGTGGTAAGCCTATTAACTTATTTTAATTTGATTGTAGGTCTATACTTTAAGAGTACATATTTTACCACTGACAGCATTATATTCACAGACAACCTAAATGTGCTGCCTTTTTATGACTTATTAAAGACAAAATAATCAAAACTGGAAGGTTTTATCAAAGTGAATAAATAAATCCCACTTCTAGCTTTAAATAAATGTTCAGATATTGTGTAGAGTAGACTCATCACCACATAAGTCATTTTTTTAAAAGCTTGATTCAAAGATAACACAAACATTGAACTTAATGATTCCACTAAATTCTTGCTGAGTGAATATCTGTGTGTCTCTTTGCAGTTGACAGTCTATTAAAGTATACGGGCTATGGTAATGCAGCAGGACTGCTGGCAGCAAGAGGCCTTTTAGCTGGAGGAAGAGGGGATCACTGGTACTCGGATGATGAAGATACAGACACTGAAGAGTACAAATCTGCAAAGCCAAAGTATAGTACTATTTATTTTTCAGTAGCTTTCCTCCTTTTTGCCTTTTGTTGAGGATCTGTATCATAACTTCTAGCTTTGGAGTTGTGTATGTGCTCGAATAGCTTATTGTTTTCCATAGATGCTATGAGGGTTTCCAGTGTTTGTCATTGTGATACAGTTTTTGTTGCATTCAAATGTGATCTTTTTGGTTTTTTTTGTTTTTTGTTTTTTTTGTTTTTTGTTTTTGTTTTTGGAAGCTGCCTCCATGATCTTGATTGCAACTAATTTGATAAGTGGTTGAGGAATGACCTGTTCCAGGTTGGGATGTTTCTGATTAGCCAGTGTTAGATGTGTGGTAGGGTGCCTTTTCAGTGGACTTTGAAGCACTGCAAGTTACCCACAGCATAATTTGAGCAGGGTTCACTTGTATTGTAGCTTTGCTTGAAGATATTAAGGAAGTGTCTACATAACACAATGCAGTGCCACGTAAGCTAGCTTGGCTACTGGCTAGCACTACATAACAGCAATGTGGTGCTGCTGTGGGGTAATTAGCCCTAGTGAGAATTGCTGTGCAGATCTAGCTCGGGTATCTCTGTGCCACTGCCCTGTGCCATAACAGCATTCCCTTAATTTTCTTGATGGCTGAAAAGCATAAATATGTGCAGAATTATTTGGGGGGGGAGGGGGTCCAGACTCGCATGTGTTGAAGAATGCATAGATTCAGCCTCTTCTGAACTTCTTTTTGTAACATTGCCTTGAGTTCACAAGGTTATAGCAGCAAAACTTTCACATTTTACCACTAAGAGGAAGAAAGGTGGAAGATTTCCATCACATGATTTTGAAGCCTTTTTTTGTCATGTTCCTCTTCCTCTTTTTCAAGAAGTTGACTTGCTTTCTCTCTGCCTAATTTAATTGTCTATAAATAGAATTTAACTGTAAAGTGTCAATAGTGGATTAATCTAAGGTTAATGTTCCACCCTGGTCATGTGAAAAGGGCTCTCAAGTGTGATATTCCTCCACTATCTTTAATTAATATCATTATTGCTCATTATTTAATCATTTGAAATGTGAATCAGCTCTGAAAAGTTGTATTTTTAACAATTGCATTGTGGACTCCTTTGCATCTATCTAACTTTCTTATTCAGTTGGCTCACAGTGAACACACAAACTGTCACAATTGTGGGTTTGGTATTTGATCTTGATTAAAATGGGCTCAGTAAAAAACAATACGAGAAGAAAATGAAAAAGTGAAAAGGCAACTTTTAAAGTATCTCAGCAAATATGTTCTTTTATTAGAGGATAAAAGGCACCGTCAGAAGTGGTCAGTATGTTTCAGAAGTAATAGCTCCAGAACTTTTACTGCATATGCCACCCCTGAATGGAAATCTTCTCTTGCGTCTTGGCTTATATGCTTAACAAGAGCTAGTGGGGCTTAAATGTTTGAGTATTTAATGAGATAAAATAATAATCACTTGAATGCCTACAAAATGGATATAAACCAAGACAGATGAAAGCTAGTTACAATCCTGCCATAAGGAGTTAAACAACTTTACATTGATATTAGGAAAGAGTAAGTTAAAATTGTTTACTGTCCTTCACCCTTTCATTCCCACCCCACACAAAAGTTAACCCTACATGTGTATAAATGATCCACCCTCCTTTTTTTTCTTTTTTTTATCTCCCCAGCATTAACCTTATCACAGGTCATGTAGAAGAGCCAATGCCGAACCCTATGGATGAAATGACAGAAGAACAAAAAGAATATGAAGCTATGAAACTTGTCAACATGCTTGATAAACTTTCCAGGTAGTGTAACCGCATCCACTAATTATAGGGTAAATGTGGAGTGCAATTGTAATTTCATTTAATTTTTTTAATGTGTATAAGATAAATCATGTAAAAGAGAATGGTATTAAAATATCAATTAACGGCAGAGAATTATGTTTTGATTTAACATGTCGGCTCTATTATTCACTGAGAGAGAGAGCAGCTTTAGTCTTGTGGCGATAGCTATCTCCCTCCTTGATTTAATATCTAGAAACTGATGCAGTATGCTTTGCATGGATCAGGAACAGTTTCTTTCTTCGTTATGGCCTACACATGCGCAAGGACCAGTTTTTCATGCCCAGTCTAATACTAATTAAGATCATAGTCAATGACCTGATTTGGAAGAGTTTAATCTGGAAATTTGAGGTGCTTCTTCAAACACATACCAGCCCCAATCCTAGTGACGCTTATGTATGTGATTTTCATTGAAGTCCGTGGGCTGTCCTTATGTGTAAAATCAATCCTATTGGCAGAACTGGACCCAGAAGTCATAAAAACACATAATATAGTATTCTTGGGTAACTTAAACTACCAGGATGTTTACTGGAAGATGAATTCAGCAACTCAAGTTCTTTATAAATCCGTTTATTAAACTTGTTTAAAAGATCAAGAATGTAGTGAGTGAGATGTGGGCAAACTTGGATTTTGCATTAAGCAATAAAGATTTAATTGGATCAGATGTTTAGGCAGGGAAAATCTAGATGCATTTGGCTTAAAAATACTATTACAATAATTTGTATAATTTAATATGTATATACTAATATGATATACTAATATCATCAAAGCAATTAGAGATTTACTGAAGGCAATAGTTAAGCATATACCTAATCTTAATAGAACTAAAATGTTGAAAAGTGAGGAAATTAGTGGACAGAGAGTCATAATAAAGCTATCTATGTATTACCTGATAATAGAAAAGAAAAACTTCTGATAAGAGCCAAGAAATAGAGTGAATTGAGTTTTTGCCATCGTTATAGATGTTCAGAAATAAGTTTTACAGCAGTTCCTCTTGGATTTTATCTAACCACAAACCTTCTCAATGCAAAGGGTAAAAGACACCTGCCATGGGGTCTACAAAAAAACAAACAAACCTGACAATAGTCCAGCAGCTGGTGTGCTCTGACACCTACTTATTCTGCTGACCAATATCCCCTCACTCTTGCCTTGTGCTTCCACTGTCTTTCAATTATGTCCACCTGCTGTCTATTTAATACTTAGATTGCAGGCTCTTCAGGGCATGGCATGTCTTTGTGTTGTGTATTCATAAGGTAATTATTATGGGAGTAGCTCTGAATCATGGTTTGAACTCGTAGGTCCTACCAGAAGCGTTTGAGAGGTCTTCCCATTTTTTTTCATATACTGAATATTTTTGATGTAGAATAGAGTAACAAGAAGCAAAAAAAATAGAAAATGAGACTTCTTTCAGGAGAATGGAATTTTTAAATAAAATGTAATAGAGTGCTATTGTTCAGTTTTATATAAACGTTAAATAAAATGGGAAGCTGGCAGTCTTCTGTCCTGGTTAGAGTAAGTGATATGTTTATGGTAGTTGGACTTTCTTGATTTCTTTGGACGATTGAATTTGTGCATTTGTTCATAACATTAAGTCTACAAGTCAGGCATTGTTTTTAGGTTGGTAATTTACAAATTAACATGGAGGACACTTGTGAATTAACCAGAAATTTTATGAAGTCAAGTTCTGTTTTGTTTTTT